GTCCCCTTTTCATTTAGATTCGATATTCTAGAACAGTGATACTCAACCTGCGGCCCGCGGGCCGCATGCGGCCCTCGGGCGTTTTTTATGCGGCCCGAAGGCTAACTAAGAATTTTTGACTTTATCTACAGATGTATTTATAAAATCCTAAAATTTAAAAAATACGATTATATTAGATATTTTTGTAATTCATTATAAAAATATTATTAAAAATTCCCTAATCAACAATGTCTAATTTATAATATAAAAAGGTCCGCGCCTGTGGTGTTCAACCGGGGATTTCAAGAAGTTGACGTTGTTATGCTGTTTGCATTTCCAATTCATGACGATTTGGAACCAGTTCAAGCGCTTACGTTTACACACGTATCGTCTTTTTCAAATTTTGTCAAGTGAAGTATGTTTCTTTTACTTATAGTAATTTTAATATTATAATTGATTTGCCGGGAATTTATAACAGTGACAATGGCTGGCGTGTCCTTAAAATCAAAACGTAAAATATCTGACGAATACAGACTATTTCAAGACAATTGGGAAGATGAATATTTTGTTGTACCTAACAAACACGGTTCAGCAACTTATTTGATTTGTCGAGAGAGTGTTTATTAAAGAAGTATAATATTATGAGACACTATAATACAAAACACAAGATGTTTAGCGATAGTTTCTCAGTCGTCTCTGCATTGCGAAGAGGAAAACTATGCGTCTTGAAAAGGTCGTTACAGTAGCAGCAAAATATAAAGGCAGTTTCAATGTCCCAAGATGTATCAGTAACGAGAGCGTCCTACGAAATTTGCTATTTATTAGGAAAACATATGAAGCCATTTACTGACGCTGAGACTGTAAAGAAATGCTCTATAAATGCTTCAAATATTCTATTTGAGAAGTTCAGCAATAAAACTCGGATAATATCACAAATCAGACAACTACAACTCTCAGATTCCACGTGCGTCAGGCGAATTGCAGATATTTCGAAACAAATTTTTAATCATAACATCGACGACTTGAAGAATTGTAAATATTGGAGTTTAGCATTTGATTCAAACACTGATGTTTCATCAACTTCACAATGTTCCCTTTTTGTACGGTACTGTACTGAGGATTATGGAATTCGTGAAGATTTTCTCAAATTTCATCCGATGAAAGGTCATACCAAAGGAAGTGATTACATTAATGTTATTTGTACGTTATTGGAAAAAATAGCATTGACGTTAAAAAGTTTATGTCCGTCTATGACAGAAATAATATTGGGTATATTTCTCTTTTGAAAAAAAAATATGATATAAATAATTTATCGGTAGTCGTAACTATGATTGTTTTAAATTGGAAAGTACAGACATCATGTGACATCTTATTTAAACGCTTTTGAAATACTGGTTACAACAATGTATCATAAATGCATTCATTTTTTTCGAATCATGAGAAAAACTAATGAGTATTTTTAAAAAATTTAAACGCCGAATGAAAGATCACATTATTGTATGCCGCCTCTTAAATATGATTGAAATTTAACTTTCATTTTTATTAGGAGGGTATGCGCAAAATCTTGATCCAATGCTATTTAAATGCATTTTTTATCAAATCCTGAGAAAACTAATTAATATTTTTGAAAACTTTAAATGCAGAATAAAATATTTAATTATTACCCAGAGCCTAAATTCCCTTAGAATAAATAAAAAATTTCGTTGAAATCAAATATTTGAAATTAAAAATCACAATAAATTTTCTCTGTCCTTCACCTCTGTAACTTATTAAAATAGACATAGAACTTTTCAGGGACTTTTTGCCCTCGATATTAATGTAATCTTTCACTCTGCGTTTAAATTTTTCAAAAATACTTATTAGTTTTCTCAGAATTCCAAAAGACCAATGAATTTTTATCCTGGCTCGCTTTTTTATCCTGGCTTGAATTTCATTTTCAGCTGGAAATGCAATACATATATAAACTTTTCTGCAATTGCATTAAATTTTCATTTGGTCATTAGCCATATTATCTGTAAATTTTCGTTTTATATATAGTTTCTGACATTTTTACACAGCCTGACATTTTTTTTTTATTTTACTGATATATATATATATATATATATATATATATATATATATATATATATTATATATATATATATATATATATACTACTTCATCTAGATTGCGGCCCGCAAGCTGTGGCAATAGCTACTATGCGGCCCAGGGAAAAAAAAAGGTTGAGTATCGCTGTTCTAGAACCTTCGGCAAAGCTTTCGTTCCTGCTTAAGACATTGTGCAATTTATCAAAAAAAAGTGGCACATGTTTATTGAAAGATGTAGCACGCGTGAGACTACATCCTTCTGATTGTTTGATGCTCAAGTTGGTGATCGTTTTAAAAATCCTCTCATCCTCTCCAAAGTCGGCAGCTTTATTTTCTGACCAACTATTCGGAATCCGAATATAACTTTTTGAGCCACTTCGTATACTAACCGGTGACATCCAAGAGTTGTTGGGACAGTTCATTTTTGACCACATTCCGAAGTATTCTGTCAGTGCAAATTCTTGTTCTTTCTCTCAGAGGTACAATTTCACCAAACTGTGAATTTTTTTTAAATTCGATCAAATAAAAATAATATCGCTACGTAATTACATGCAAAAATACCTAAGCTTTACTTAGCATCAGTATCAAAATATAAACTCAATGCACAACCGATTAATATCGATATGAGGAACAATATGATTATGTTCTGAAGCAAAAATCACACTACCAGCTGACACGCAAAAACGAACTGAAGCTAAAATTTGCTGGTAGATTCTAGGTGTTGAGATAACCTGCAAAGTGTTGACATGTCCTCAGAAAATGCATTGCCTCACTATGAACCACTCTTCCCTATTCGATTCTCTATCCAGCTAAGACAGCGTTAAAAATGTATCTAAAGGAGGTTCATCAGAGACTTTTTCAACAAGACCGATCATTTTTTTCTACTCATAAATTAATTACAAAATGAAGAATAAAATAACGAAAGCAAAGCTATAGAAAGGCAAGAAATTAATATTGGAGGAATATTTTCCTATATATTCTATATTGACAAAGATAAAAGTAAGAGGTGTCTCAAGGTTAATAGATTGAAAGTCTTACTGTTATGCAGTATTTGTTTGTGAGGTTATATGTGACTACCATAGGAAAATATAGTCTGCATGAAGTAACGAAAAAACTATAATTATAAGCACGTACTACCAATACAAAAGAATAAACTAAGGAACATTGATATCGCCAGATGGGAAAACCATAAACCAAATCGACCATGTACTCGTCGAAAAAGACATGGACAAATATAGAAGAACATAGAGGACCAGATGCAGACTCAGATTTACAGACTCACTTTATACTCGGAATACAAATGTAGCAACTTATACCAGATCTTAAAACCAACAGAAAAAATATAAAGCAACTGAACCTGTTAGATTACCGCCAGAAGAAAAACAAAGTATATATGAAAGAATAGTTAACAGAGAATTAGATAATATTGCAAAAAATCCATTCTTCGATTTTTGTCTTTTGCAAAAACATCAATAACACGAGCTAAAGTCTAATTGTGAAAATCTATACCAGGTAATGGACAAGCTGATACTCTAGCTAAGGAAGCAGTACAAAATGGAGTTTCTTGCAATATTTGTACAATAAGGGATATATTTAACTCAATAAAAAGTAAAATAAGGCTGAAATGGGAGAATATTGTTGAAAGCTAACAAAACGCGTACTCCCCACGCTTTTTCACCCCTTGAAATGTTTTGGTCCAACAACACCATGAAACTCAAAAGTAGCCTTATTGCTTTACATACTGAACACAACTAATTGATGTTACCTGTAAAAACTAAATAAATATAGTGTGATATATACCTATATATGAGCGATATATGTGAGGTTTATATAGTAGACTCATCCACAGGACGAGTGGATTTCCAATTCAGGGTGGAAAAATAATGTTTACCTAGTTACACAATTTGGGCTTCACGTTGTATTTTGCGTAGAATGTTATGTTTGCACGATGAAGGCATGAGAAATATGGGAATATGTGTTTGGCAGAGAAAGACCATGGATAGGGACGACTGTTGTCGATATCACGATTCAATGATGCTAACCTACAAAAGACTTACATTTTCTAGGAAACATCGACTAGGCAGATTACAATTGGCTATGAAGCATCAAAAATGGAATGCAACTCTTTCACAACAAAGATCTTTTAGGAAATCTATTTTATTCTAGGTACAATAAGAAACACATTTAACAATTATTTCGTTTATTAACATTTACACATATTGAAATAAATAATATACTTTATAAACATTAACAAAATAGGAAACAATAAAATGTTTTGAATTTGATAATTTTATGAATAAAGACATTGTTTTCATTACTGGGAATGTTATTACTGGTCATTATAATAAAAATAATCATAACAATATAAAAAAAACTGCAACAAAGAATATATACATTTATAAAGATTTTATTTTTATTTCATTTAAATCTTAACTGTTTTAGAACAAAATGATGCACTAGGCACAGTTGACATGATGACAAAATATCTGTGTATGACTAACGTGAGAAAATGCCAGTCTTAAAAATGGTTGATACAAGACAGGCAATGCAAATATATTAATAGAATACAGGAGGATTCTGTATGTCGAAAAAATTGAATTCTTGAAATCTATATAGCTGATTTCAACCAAACTTGACACACAGGTTAATATCAGGAAAAACTATGATATAAATTTAAACCAGATGGGTCAACCCTTGAGACCTATAAAAATTATGTATATTAGAAGAACTGAAGGACTATAACTATACTGGAGGAAATTATCAATTGTGTGGGACCGGTCCCAGTACTGGTGAAGGTATATTAATGAAGTTAGATGACCAGCAGTATTATAAATACTGATTGGTAGTTGGATTATGTTATCATTTACCTATATATAATTTGTACAATTTGTGTTTTGCTGTGAAGTTTTACGTTACATACTAAATCTTCTTCCATTAAACACCTGGATCGGAAATAGCCTTTGTCTTATCGCAGGTAAACGAAACAGTGATTGCAAATCTCATACCTTCTTCTACTCTCTCGACAAAGTGTGGATTTTCTGAGCCCGAAGTAAACATAGATACCCTACCCTTACGCGGTTCAACCGTTACGTTTTTAGTAGGTTTTGCAATGTTGTCCTGAAAAATAAATCTACCTCCTTTAAAGTCTTTTCCATAATCGTTTAAATAGAGTAGTGATGTATAATGGAATGATTCGTAAGTTCTCTAAAACAAAAAAAAAATATGTTCAAACAATTCAAAATCATAAATAAGCAAAAAAGGCATACTGTAGGAAAATGATTTTTTTCATATTAGAAGTCAAAGAAAATTGATAATTGGTCAACTGTGACCAGATTTCAATGGTATAAAAAATCTTTGGTGTTTAATAATAAAGAAATATATATCGTTTACCTTATCAATATGTTCATGCCAGTACTCGTCATGTCTAGTTTTTGGGTCAACGTTGGTAAGTCTAGAGAAAAATGTTGGATAGGTTAAATATAAACTATCAGCTTGAATACCAAAATTCTGAGCGATGGCTTCTTGAATTTTGCTTCTTACTAAATGGTAAATTGTCCTTTCAGATTCTGTTAAAATATTTTTGCTGCCACTTTGTTCATAGATATTTATAAACCTGTCTTTGTAGGATAGTGCTCCTGTATGTAAATCAATTATGGATGCTCCACCTGAAGATCCACCTTGTGCCATTACTAAAAATAAATAAAATTATAGAACAGCTTATAATATAACTATTTTTAAACAAATTAATTAAATCACCATAAAATTAAAAAAAAAATAAAGATTCTATCTTGATACCAAGTATATTTCCACCTCTATTCATCAGTAGCAGCTTTTGTCTTGATATAATAACTGCTAACATGTATGTCTTGTATTAAGTAATCTCTTTACCTCTTGCATCTAAAATTGCTTTCTAATTTGTTTCTCGCTTAATCTTTTAAAATAAAAGGCAGATATTGAGAACATATTTGTATTAAATATTGCCCAAGTAATGTTTCGAAGCTACATTGTAATAACGGCAGGAGATGATCTCATGCTATAAAGGCTTATTTTATATAAATTGCGTAAGTAAACATACATTGTTATAGTGGTTTATTCGTAACATTTAACCTATTACTGCCGCAGGCATTATCAAAGATGATGCGGGAGTGGATAGAGATGTAACCTCATATCGCTTACACTTCAAATTTAATATTTGCCGCAGTTGCTGATGAAACTATAAATTATGACTATATGTTTAGTACTTTTTTATTTGGTGATCAAAAAATAAAATTTATTTATATCAATATATAACTTACTTCTAACAGCTAATCTCAACAAAATGTCTGCCTCCTGTTCAGTAACGATTTTGTCACTCACAAACCTTCCACACTTTTCTGGAATGCAGGATTTATATTGTTTTATATCTTCTACAAATTCAGGGCCACACTCCACGACTTGTGATCGTCTATTGTAGACGGTATTTTGTTTTGCTAGAATTGTTTCATTGGTACTTTTTGAGAAATACCAAAGATAAACAAGAACACCTATGATCATCACACCTCTGCTCCACACCCTTTGTGCAGGGAATCTAGGTAAAGGTCCATATTTACTGAAAGAATTAATTTTTAGCTTAAAGAACCAGATAAAAGCAATGTTCAATCAAAGAATATAGACGCTTAAGCGTCTATATTCTTTGGTTCAATATTATTAAAAAGTTGTTTATTTAGACATGTCACACAATAATTTATCCATCTAGTCCATAATTTATATTCATCTACTTCATGAATACACAATAAAACACCATCAGATATTGCATAATATCAAACTAACAGATGTTTTGCTAATACATGTATTTTACCATATTATGTTTATGTTGCACACAAAAAACTTACAAATCTTTTGCCTGGTTTTCTTTGTCTTTCTTGTCTGTAGTTTCATCTTTACCCTTTGAATTTTCTTGTGGAGCGGCTTTTACACTGTTCTTTTCTTTGTGTCGTTTAGTTACAGTTGTTGATGTCATTTTTTAATACTGGTAAAGTAAAATGTGAATCAAAGATATGAGCTGATAAGTACCTAGAATGTCAAGATATAATTGATTTATTGGTTATTATATAAAGTCGATTTGCATACGGTCTTATTATATAAGAGATCCATTCAAGATACGGTATAAAAATGTTTTGTGCATTATGAAGTTATTGTAATTTATCTTGTGCAAGCAGAAAAACTGTTTTTTAGTAAACAATAAATGTGGTTATGTTTTCCTAATTCCGGTTTTAGTTTCTTTATCCGAAGTCTTACTGGTTTATTATAATTAAAATTATCAACAGTTCAAATACTACTTCAGTTTTAATCTAACGTAATATTCATAATTATAATAAACAAACCGTTCTTGGTAACTTTAACGAATGTTCAAGCTGAATATAGCCTCAAATGTCATATATATCTTGTCTTTGTCTTTATCTTCTCTACAAATACATGACAAATACAAACGCTAGAACTACATTTCAACTGATGTTTCAGTAAATTTACTGATTTCAACTTCAATTTGCTGAAACACGATCTCAATTTACTAAGAAATATGTAATGATAAAAATTAAATCATGTTAAAAAACTGATTAATATATCAGTGTTCAATTATAAATTTTGAAAAAAAATCCATTATCCTTAATCTACTGAAGAAATAAACCTTCTGGTGCCGGTTTAGGCACAGTATATTGTTAAATAATTCTTTTTTAGCATTAAAATAAAGTGTGCTTAAATTGCCACCGTATCACCCAGATTTTAATGCTATCGAATTGCAAGATTGCAAGACTTACTATAAATACATAAATATATTGGCTGAGATGGATATAGAGATGAACATCACAGATCACCTTGTGATGAACCTGCATGCACAGTGAACCTGCATGTGAACCTTAGGTATCACAGATCACCTAAGGTATGTGGAAGGAAGCAATTCAAAAGTTTAACGATGTCGCCTGCTGGCCAACGTTTGTATTACATACCACAAATCACCTACCTCGAACATACTAACAAATTAATTGAACAGTGGTTTATTATAGAAGAAAATAATGGCTATTAATATCGATCCTGTAATAATTAACATTGGAGATGTCAGAGATAGATTCTGATGGTGATGAAAATGAAATAATATGAGAAACCAAAAGCATACGTTCGAAATCTTGCAACAATATTATTTGAGCTAAATAATGTTTCATTCTTTAAATAATTTTACTGTTACCTATTACATCAACACCCTGTGCCCTGTAAATGTTGTATATGTGTATATTTAATTGTCTTTTTCTTTTTTATAAATTGTTTATTTATTTATTAGAGGGAAGGCTGCAAATGTTGTAAGTGTGGGCTACGTAGGTTTCACAACTATTCGTTGCAGATCTCTACATTTTGACTATTGCAATGCAAACGGTATTTGGCGAAGTTAAACTATCACCGTAGCGATGGCGCCACAGTGTAGATATTTCCTAGTTCATAATAATTTATTGTTTGTCGGTTGGTGTGAGTGTTAAAACTTTTTCGATAAAAGTTGATAAATTCCAGTATTTGAAAATAAACACTAAAATTTCAAAAAAAAAAGTCTGTGTCACGTTAAATAACTCTATAATCAGTCTTTTTATATTATATCAGCTGTCGTTTCATATTTACAGCGGAAATTAGTTATCCTAATGGCCCGACAAATTTTATATGTATACTGCAATCAAAAGTGTGCAAATATTGCATATATAAAAGTGCGGACTTTTACCCCACCTACCCTGTATTCTAATAAGTTTTCTTCAAATTAACTACTTTTAGACATAACCTCTTTTGTTGTCCAAAGCAAGGTGTTTACAATATGGGCTATGCCTCTGTTTTCGTTATGGGCTAGTAGCCCATATTTAGAACAAAGTAAAGCATACTTCAATTGTTTCAGGATGTCACAACAACAGCTGCAAGAAGATAAAAAAGAAAAAAAATGGGATGAGAGAGATGTGGAACGTGCAATTATAGCTGTCAGGCATCACGAAATGGGTACGCTGAAAGCTGCAAAAATGTTTAATGTCCCACGTACTAAGTTGCAACGTTCTGTAAGAAAATTTGAACTAAAGCCAATTGAAGCTGCTCAAATAAAGTTTAGGCTTAAAGCTGTCTTAGGGAAAGATCTTAAGGACGAGTTAGTTCGTTATATTTTGGAAATGGAAGCTAAATTTCATGGATTAATCAAAAAAGATTTTAAGAGGATGGCGTACGTCTTACCTTCCAGGAACAATATCAAACATCCGTTTGGAGGTAATACGGCAAGCAGAGCCTTTTAAGGGCTTGTCCTGCAACGTCATAAAAAGCTATCAGTACGACGACCAACGGGAACATCATATTCACGAACAAGAGGCTATAACAAAGAAATGGCACATCTTTCTTCAATGTTCTGGAAAAAGAATATGGCAAACGGTTTTAGCCACCTGAAGTATCTTCAATGTAGACTAGACAGGTCTTACGGTTGTACAAAACAAGATTGCACAGGTACTAGGCCGAAAAGGGAAACGACAAATTGCATCATTAACTTCTGCTAAAAGGGGCTCTCTGAGAGCGCTGCTGGCCAATTTATCCCACCAATGATGATATTCCCAAGTAAAATAATTAGCAACTGATGAAAGGAGCTCCTCCAGGTTCCATTATGGCAGTATATCCCAGTGGATGGATACAAAGCAATATTTTCACAAGATGGTTTCAACATTTCATTGACACAGAAAAATCACCAGTCCTGCTTATTATGGAGGTCATTACAACCATACACGTAATATAGAGGTCATAGATTTAACTAGAGATAATTATGTCACTATAATTGTCTTGCCTCCCCATTGCTCCCATAAACTCCAGCCATTGGACAAAACTTACATGGCTGTTCTTAAGGCTTACTACAGCGAAGAGATCAGGGTCTAGTGGCGCCACAATAATCGTCCACTAAATGCATTTGATGTGTCAGAGCTCTTTGGGAGAGCTCCAAACTGGAAAGATTGCCGTTAATGTGATTGATGTGAGTGATGAAGATGATAAGGTGATCATCGTTTCAACCGCTGCTGTCAATTCAAATGAACCTATAAATTCTGACGATAACTCTATCAATTCTGAGAGCACACCAGATTGTCGTTCCAGCCACAATAATTTATGTAATTCTCCCTTTCTTCCATCTGGGTCTAATAAACAGCTTGAAACTATTCCTAAAACTAATACACAGCTTGATGATATTTCTTCAACTAGTTCACAGCTTGTCGCTATTCCCACAACAAGCTTTTACAGAAAGTCTGCCACGCCTTCCAGAAGACCTTGTGCAGAGCTTGGTGTAAAAAGAAAATTATTTAAGAATAAGCCAATTTATCAATTCCAAAGAACCAAAACAAAGAACTCGGGTTCTTGTAGCGAGGATGAGGTTGAATATGTGCACAATAAGTTTCCTTCTACACAGCCTCCACAAGACGCAGCTGACGTAACGTGTATGGTTTTCAAAGCACTTTTTTAAGAGGATAATCTTGGTGAAATAAGAGGCAAGTGCATCATGTGCCATTTGTGGGCACATAATGAGTGCGCTGGGGCCGAAAATGAAGATTATGTGTGTGACTTTTGCAAATAGTTTTCCCCCTAGTAAAAAAAAGAAAACTTAAGAAAATCAAACACATACGTCATTGTCTATGAGTTATTTTTGATATATTGTTTGTATTTTAGATATTGAAATATATTTGCCACGCATTTATCTCATTTCACACAAATTTAAGACACATTTTTCGGGGTAGTCCATATTTAGGATCATTATTCAAACGAAGCAAAAGTACAATTTTTCATTATTTGTACAGTTAAAATAGTTATATATTTTAATTAATTTGAACTTTGGGCAGGTTATAATTAACTAAATATAGGTATTTTTACGTACGTTTGGAATTGAAATAAAATTTTTATTCTTTTTTTATAAAGAAATACAAAATGTGTAGCCCATAGGCTACTTTCGGCTAATCATTAATGATATTAAGAGTTTATTAAGCTACCTGAAATGTAGCTGTACTTCTGCACCAACATTTTAAAGCAAAAAATAACTTTTTACATTCTATTTATTTGATAACTTCAAAGTTTATAATATAATCTGTGATCGGAGCAGTAGCCACTTTCTGTCACTTGTTATGTTGAGTAAATTTCCGACTTCGTATGCTTTAAATAATGACGCACGGATAAAGAACGATGGATTCAACTGTACACATTATTCCCCCAGTAGTAACAATCTTTTAAATGAAGCTTAATTTAACATAAAATATATACTTCTTTGATTAAATCTTTCAATAAACTTAAACGTAATATTTAGTAAAATGAGAAAACCACTTTTCCATTCTATACAACATTTCGAATTAAAACTAACGCATGTTATGAATTATTTACTATAATTTGTCAAAGTTACAGTAGAGCAGTGACATTAAGTAAGTTTTTTAACTATTCAATTATTGTTTTATACGGTGAAGTGCCACACCTTTATGTGATTTCTTTTAGTATAAAGCTGAGCTCTGTAAACTAAAAACACATTTGTGGTATTTATTGTGTGTGGATGTCATTTTAAAATTTATCCGGACCACACCGTACAATTAAAAGTTATGAAAAAAAATTGTTGAAGCAGCTTCACTTCATTCAAAATGGTCCAAAGAATACTAACTACATTTGATTCAAAATAAAGTAAGAAAGTAATGTAATAGAACTAAGAAGATTAAGAATAAGTTTTGGTTAGTCTTACCGAAGACTTGATGTCTTTTCCATGCAAACCAACCAGCAAAAATGCATTTTTACAAATAATTCTCGCAACATCAACAGTTTGTGAGTTTATTTTATATTAAAACTTATATTTTAAGTCAAATATAGGCAAAGTTACGTTATGGAGTTTATAAAAGTCCACTAAGTACGTTAGAGTTTTTTTAGAGTTACTGGTTTAAATATCCACTCTACGAATATTTTAACGATGTTATTCAAGATATATTTCAGACATAATGATATTATGCCTTTATGGATTTCTGTATATACTTTTGAATGCTCTTAGCAAGTCTATTGAGTATCTTTTTTTTTCATAATTTCAAATAGTTTGTATATATCTACTCAGTCGAAGACTTTTTTTAAAAGTTCTAAATGTAATATGCGTTTTTAGGTTAAATTCTCTTCGTATTTCTATAATCTCCTCTTCTTGTAGTTCCTTCTCCTATCGCAGGTTGGCTATCATCACAGCTATCCGTACCTTATTGGCGGCTGCTGTGAAAAGATCTACTGAGCTGCAACTATACCACTCTTTTAGGTTTCTTAGCCAGGAAATTCTTAGTCTATCGTATTTTCAAAATCCTTCTATAGCACCACATCTCAAATGATGGCCGCTCTTAAAAGATGGTTCCTCCTAGAACCTTGTCGGGACTGGAACTGGAACGGTATGCTGATATCGCCAACTGAACCCTCTTTTAAAACTTCCAGTTGTATAAAAATGACAAGGGACGGTTTTCTCTCCACACCAGTAACTATGCGGATTGTAACATACTAACACCTGGACTTCAGTGTAAGATCTCCTCCACCATATTTCGGATAACCCTCCAATCTAATTGGCGGCACTCCAACTTTGGCATGGCTAACTTTTGCACGTCGGACTCTAGTACAGTGCTCTCTCTATTGAAGTAAGGCTTCCCATACATCTCGGTAGGTAGGTTGATCACGGGCAGTGTCTTTTGTTACCAGGTAGAAGAGGTAACGTGATGCATCTTGGAGTTTCAAGGCTATCCCGGAAGCTGGCACTTGGCATTGAAGTTCTGCAACTCGAACGAACTTCCTTCGAAAGACGGATGCTAACCCTGGTGCGTCTTTGATACTGACAGGGATGGTAAGGTCCAGTGAGTAGTCATCAGGAAGCGCGAATACAATACTTTCCTTTCTTTCAGTGGGTAACTTGGACTTAGTTTACTTCCACTTCTTCATCTACGTCGTGGTCACCTTCGAAAGACGCCAGCCGGTTATAATGTACTATCATCGGTTTTCCCCTCGGAATCTTGCTTGTTTGGTAGGATGACATCATTGATCTTCTCCATAATGAAGAAAGGACCTTCCCAAAACTGCTGCATACTTGGGAGAACAACCTTTTCGCTTCTTGTGATTATAGAGCCAGACTTTGTCATTCTTCTTAAAACACCCCTTTTCGGCTTGCGTATCATACCATTTCTTCATTCGGTCACTAGCGATCTGAAGATACGGATAGGAATTCTTCTTCATCATTCCAGGGCTTCCATCATTATATTGTCTCATAGGATCTCTCCTTTTTCGGTAAGGCCCGTTACTCGTAGCACAAATAGTACATTTCTTACACCAGTCTTTTACGTCGTCTGAACTGTTCATCCAATAAAACCGTTCCCGAACTCGCTGAAGAGTTTTCTTACTCCGAAATGCCCTCCTGATGGACTGTCGTGTAACTGACGAAGTACTTTGGCTATTCTGCTCTTTGGGATCACCAACTGTCTTCTCTTCTCTGATCCGTCATCATTTTCCAGTACTCGTTTAAGCAAGCTATCTTCCATGATAAATGAGTCCCACTGGTCCCAATACATCTTAACTACTGACACCTTAACTACTCGACAAGGGTAAGTTAAATTATTTTTTTTTGTAAAAAATACTATTATTTTTATTACTTTAAAAACATCTAACATTTAATATATGATCTATGGTGTTAGTTTAAATATTTTCAGAACTATATAAAACACAGGCGTTATGTTTAGTGCATTTTCTTAAAAATGCTAGTCACGCAAAACTTTCAATGCGATTTGCCAACATTTTACTGTTTTGAGTTGTGCCTATACTTTACTAAGGGTGCGATATTGAGCATTGAAAACTAACTACATTTGTAGGGTTTGAACTCTTTTATTAAGGTTTCGAGTTCCAAGTCGGAAGACCTTTCTAAATATTTTTTTTTTAATAATAATATCAAACTTGTATTTTGGACGTAAATTAAATATTCCCAAATTACAATATCCTCATCTATACCATTTTTCTTTTCAAAGTAATAATTATAGTTCAATTTTCTTAATTTCTTGCACGCTATATTATTATAGGGTACCTACAGGGAAAATAAAACCACCCTCGTCCTTCTAACCTGCTGCACGACACAAACAAGTTACAATAGTTTAAGAAAAGCAAAGTTAAAATCAAGTATGTGGGTGCAACAACTTAATGATTCATCAACCCTAAGCATCGACTGTATTTGTTTGTATCAAACAGTCCATCCAAGCAGAACATTATTTTTGGGTTACACCTGCCTGTAAACACATAGCAAAATTAAAGATACCCGATAGTTAAAAGCAGCAATAAAGAATACAGTGACATGGAAATAACTACCCTCGGAAGAAAAATTTTACAAAGTCGGAAATAATCAATATTTGGAAGGACGGCGCAAAGGTTGGATTTTCTCTATTCTAGTGCAATAAGAAAAGTATCGAACATACAGTAAAACGTGTAGCTGGTGAAATGTTTGTTAACAACGTAAGCAAAAATGTAGATACGGTGTTTGTATGTTTTAGTTAGCTTGTGTTATTTGGTAAGATTTTATATTATTTATTTATATTAATATTGAATTATATGTTTATTTTGATTCCATATTTAGTAAAACATAAACATACCATTAGAGACTACCTACATTTTTAGCACAGAAGTACAATTTCTTTACAACACGCCCTGAAATCTTGGTAAAAAACAGAAATTTTTCGATTATCTCGTATTCTTAATTGTATTCAGGATGTCATAAAAAGATTCAATAAATTATACCACGATTTTAGGGATGAAAAATGAGTCGATTTAAAGTACCAAACTAAATCCGAATTTTTTAATATTGCTCCAAATCGGTTTAAAACTTATTTATGCAAATTTATATTATATATTATATTCTGGCCTTTTGAGCTTGATAGCACAGCAACTCATTATAAATTCAAAAATATGTCCCACACACTAGAGGGTCGTTCAAAAAATTAGAGCGACTTCTAAGCATTTCTTCAATAGAAATGTCTTTACTCGTTATCGTCGTTGTATCTTCCCTATGTTATGAAATTCAAGTAGCTGATATAGGTTCGAGAGTTAACATAAAACTTCTTCTTTTTCCTTTTTGTATGTAGGTGTTAAAGCCTTTTTCTTCTTCAATATTAGCCTACTAAATTGTCGCACCATCTTTTTCTTGGTCTACCAAGAAAAAAGATTTGGTCTTTCTTTTTCTCTTTGTTGTCGTACTTCTTCTTCATCTCCGTAACTAAATATATTTATTCCCAGATATCTAAACCCTGCTTCCTGCTTTATTATTTTCACATAAACATGTTTTACATGTTTGCATTGGATGGTTTGCAATTGTCCGTACAATGCCTCCCATTCCTCCTTAGGTTTGCAGTCCTCAGGGCTATAGATAGATGTGACATTTAATTTTTGGTAGTCCATTATGGTGTTCATATGTATTATTCTTTCGGAGATATAACGGCAGACATTTATGTTGTCTTTAAATTTTTTGTTGTCTTAAAATTTTTATCTCATAAAAACAAAAAAAATGGCATCAAAACGCAGTTAGAACTTTGTTTCTAAATCTCAATGCTTTCCAGTTATTTAACATAGTTCTGTCTTCCACATACACCCTTGTTCTATAAATGAGAATGGAATTCTATATCACTTAATAAGAAAGGAGAAAATAATACTATTAATTATATTAAAAAAAATTTTTATTTCATGATGAATCAATCATACGAGATGGAAACGAAATAAATGTTAGAATACCTAACTTACTGTATAATATAATATTTGAAAATGAAAACAGTTTATTTGAAAGAGTTCAGAATCGCTTGAAAATATTGTTTATCAATATCGGGCATACTAATATTCATCATTTTTTAAATTATTTTCACCTTATTTTTAAACTGCTCATTTTTTGGGGGTAAGAGCATTGGTATATTTTTTTCAAGTTTGCGCAAAGTTTTTTCGCGCACGGGTTCTTGGACCACCGCGTTGGTAAATATGTTACTTTTGTAAATATGTTTTCTGAGTGAGAGACCTTATATTCTGCTTCTGCTAAATTGTGTTTAAATTTAATTGATACCACTTTGGAAAATGAAATTTTTTGAAAGCCAAATTTTTGGAACAGGTTTTATAGTCTTCAAAATCGTGATCTTTTAATTGCAAAATAATATAAGGAAGTCTTTTATTCACAGACTTCAAATTGCGTATAAATAAAAGTGGTGAATAAAATTTCACTTTTACCATAAATTTTTCAATGTTACTATGCACATTATCCACTTCTCGAATTGCTCCATGTGCTGTCTCAGTGCTTTCATAACAGAAAATGAAATAATGAGTTACCATTCTGAGATATACAAGAATCACTCCATGTGACGAGATTAGTGATATTATTATCTTCCAAAACTCTATCTAAAATTTTATGAAAAGCACTATCCAACACGGTGCTGGTCCTTCCTTGTTTTTCTTCTGTCCATGTGGCACATAAAACAGTTTTTGTTACAGAGTAATATGCAGTCAAGTTATAGATATTTAATTTTTTCTAGCTTTATACTATTCTTTATTTAAATATGCTTTTCAAACTTTCGGTGTTTCTCTTCTATCAAAAGTTTTGTCACGACTTTTAAGTTTGTAGTCTTTACATTTTACATAACGGTCCTTTTTAGGTGCATGAAAACCATAATTGCAGTCATTGTTGAACACAAATCGGTAATAGGATAATTTAACTGGATCTTTTCCTAGTTCTTCACACCACTTCAAGTACAAATCGTATAATTTTTGCTACACTTAAACTGGCTTCTAAATACTTCCGTTTAGTCGTTTGTCGGCAATAATGAGATTCAATTATACGAAATAAGTTAATATGAATTTTAACGTCTTCCCTTTTATCATCAAATATCGATCTACTACTTGTGTTACCTCTCGTATCTTTCTCAGGCGTGGATCCTTCTTCATGGGCCGTGTATATTGTCTTTTGTGAAATACCTAATCTTCCCAAAAAATAAGTTTTAAATACCCGAATTTGTTCCCTCACGAGTCAGCATAAAATACGAAAATGTATACATTCGCCGTGAATGCTCTTCCGTAGTGCCCCTGACTTTTAACTTTTGTTTTGTAACATGGCTCAAATATATGTATTTTTGGTTTTGAGACAAACCAAAGTAGTATTAAAAACTCCTGTGCCTTCTCTCGGAAATTTGTTTTCCAGAATTGAATTTGCAATTATTTAAACAATTTTTGTATAATATGTGCGTTTCCTTTCTCGAACTTCTTTACCACTGGCATCAACATACGATTTCCTGCTTGGCACATACTTTTCCTCTCATTTACTTTCCATTTTAATGAATTTATTTTCGTGTTCTTGTTTTCTTAAGCCATTGTTGGGAAGCGACGAATTGATGGTTCTATCTGCATCTCTGTAATACAGCTTTGGTTAGGAAGGTCTACTTCTAAATTAAGATAAATGTAATCTTACGTCGTTATCCTGTTGTTTCTATTATCACTCATTTTGTTTAGATTATTGTTGGGAAGAGACGAATTAATGGTTTCATCTGCATCTCTGTAATAATATAGGTTAGGTTAGGAAGGTCTATTTCTTAATTAAATAAATGCAATCTTACGTGGTTATCCTATTATCTCCACTATCAACCATTTTCTTTAGATTATTTGAAAGTATTAAATACTATACAATATTTAAGTATTAAATCCAATTTGTTTTTAATGGACAGGTCATTGAGCGGGTTTCTCAGTAAAAATATCTTGAAACTATTCTCAACGAGGACTAACTACCATTTCAGAATAAATTCGTTCATGCATTGAACAATTTAGATCCAGACATAGAGATACGTAGTAGAATTGAGCAAGCCAGAACAGCATTTACTAATATGAGAAGCTTGCTAAGCAATGGCAGCCTTAACTTAACGCTTCGATATCGCTTTGTAAAATGTTACATTTACTCCATACTGCTGTATGGTGTATACAACCTGGACCATAAAGGCCAATGTGATAAACTGATTGGAAGCCTTTGAGATGTGGATATTTAGAAGACTACTTAAAATTCCCTGGACAGATCACACAACAAATGTCGAAGTATTAAATCAAATGGACAGAGAACGAGAATTGCTGCCAATAATAAAAAGAAGAAAAACTGCTTATCTGGGTCATATATTTCGAAATTCCAAGTACCAATTCTTAAAGCTTATTACGGAAGGGAACATAGAAAGAAAACGAGGCATCGGAAGAAAGAAATACTCATGGCTTAAAAATATAAGGGTTTGGACAAACCTCGATGGCCATGCACTCTTTAGAGCCACACAAGATCGAGAAGAGTGTGCCAGAATTGTCGCCAACATCTACTAATTGGATAGGGTACCTTAAGAAGGAGATTGAACAAGTACAAGCTGCTATATTCAAAATAAAAAAAAACTGTTGACAGCACCGTGATGCGTGTTATGTATTTTTCATAATCCTACACGATGTGGAAATTTGTCTACTAAATAAGGAAATCGTTCAAATGATACAGGCTTTTGAAATGTGGGACAACAGACGAGTTCTCAGAGTAACCTGGAGGGATAGAGCCATAAATTAGGCAGTGCTGAAAAGATTGAATATTAAACCAGAAATTATATTTACTATAAAGAAACAAAACTTAAGTTGTTGGCCACGTCACTAGCGGCATAAGATATGAGTTTCTAGCAAGGAAAGATCGTTAGACAAAGACATGTGAGGCATGAAAGAATTTCTTGTATGCGAAACCTTTCTAAATGGTTTGAAATGGCAAGGAGATGCTGAATGCAAGAAGAAAATAGATATATAATTATTGTCAATTTTTAACATTTCTCGAAAGACGATTCCTTCAATAATTCACCATAATATCCAGATCTTTCTCATTGATTAGCTTGATATTTCGCTTGGTATTTAGCCTGTGCCAGAAGTTTTATTGGTTTGGTTCTTTAAATGTCTAATATTTGTATATTTTAAATATCAAAAGTATAGTTAATAAAATAATTTTCTCTTCTTACAGATTTTTAATTTTAATTTCATGGTGTAAAACAAAGACTTAGACCTACAATGAATAGGTATACAATTCTTCATCAACTAGGTGATGGCACCTACGGTTCGGTTGTTTTGGGACAGAGGAAAGATACAGGCGAGAAGGTGGCGATTAAAAGAATGAAGAGGAAATATTATTCGTGGGATGAAGCTATGAACCTTAGAGAAGTTAAAGTAAGTCCCATTCCATTTTTATTTATCTAAACGAAAAATTTTTAAATAATTTAATATTTGTGCATTAAATAATTTTTAAATAATTTAAAACTGCAGTTTATCGTAGTTTTTTGTTATATTGGTACAATATTTATGTGGGACGTATGTGGTGTTTTATTTCAATATGTTAATTCATTCTTTGTTTATAAGCCATTTAGTATAGACATATCACAGTATATTTTACTAGAGAAAAAGTGTAGTGCAGTGATTGAATTTTTAATTTTGGAAGGTTTAAAAGCAAGGGAAATATATAAACGAATGTTAAAAGTGTATAATAACTCTTCGCCTTCAATAAGTACAGTAGAAAGATGGGTTGCTGAATTTAAACGTGAATTACACCAGAAATCATAGAAAAAAATACAGGATATCGTATTGTAAAATCATCGAGTGACTGAAAGGGACTTACTAAAAGCTCTAGGCATCCCATTGACATCAGTTCATAAAAGTAATAAATATTATCTATTGATCTCATGAGAATCGTACACAATTGCAAAAATCGCACGACGTTAATTTATTTAACACCTTTATAAAAATTGACTTCATTTGCGGCAAAATACAAACATTACATACGAAAGCTGCACTCTTCACCTTTAAAACTCATTTCGATGTTGTTGATAGGACACTCTGATCAAAAGATATTAAATTTTTATCGTCGAGTCGATACAAATTTTATTTTACAATAATTAATTTCGTACGCTTAACTGACATTCAAAATCGCCGATCGCTTCAAGCGGTGTTTTCTGAGAAAATGGTTCATTCTACACAAAAAGTGCTAATAAACATTTTTGTTCAGAATTATCTAAAGATACATTTTATGTTTGAAACATTTTTTTTTTGTATGGCGTACAGATTTTTGATAAATCGATTTTTTCTGTTTTTCTGTGTGACAAAAGCAATTTGACAGATGACTTATTGGACCTATTTTTGACTGGAACTATTTTGAGTGAAATTTTGAGTGGTGTGGTACCGTCTTTTGATGTAATTATAATCTTTCTGTTTCTTAATTATAGATAATGTGTCTTATAACTTCTATTATTATAGTTAATCAAACTCACATTTTTTTACATATGTATTGCAGGCTGCCAATCAAAAAGTGGATGCAAATAATTTTAATTATATTAATTAATTAATTTTGTTCATTTATTTTTTAAATAAAATAGGACTACTCATGAGATATGTGCATGTTCTTAATTGGGAACATCTTAACCTTTTATAAATGCCAGTTTTTAAGAAAAATTCGATGTGACCGGTTAATTTAGCACCCCAGTGTATTTTACACTCCACCAAATTAAGGCTAATTTATTTTTTAAGAAGGTTGAAGATATAAGGTTGCCTAAAAATGGTCACATAATTAAGGTTACTAGTGGTTAAAAACGCGAGGTTTAAAAAATAAAATAAAATAGAGTTAGCTTGCAACGCTGGATTTTATACCTAACTTTACTTTTTAATAAAATATTTAAGGAAGAGCACGTTCCTTCATCCTGGGATAGCAATATAATCACATCAATGAAATATATAAAAGGACCAAAGTCACTAGTTTGACAAATGATATGTATGTTATTAACACTATCTATCGACCACTGAACTCGATACTACGTAACTGGAAGGGACCCGACAAACTGTAAAAGTGAGGACAAATATGAAACTATTCAACCGGTGTATGTATTCAACCGGTAAATCATCGTATTTTCCATGTGTAGTTCATTCATGGACTATAGGATTACTTAACTGGAAATTAAAATAATATGATGATATATAAATCTTAGCTAATACTCGTGTTTTACTACATAATACTTTGGAAGAAAAGGTTCTCCCCAAAGTTTACTTGTTTTTGTTGGCTTTTAATTATTGTCCCAACGAACTGTTTGTATTCAGAGATTCAATATTTCAGAACGTTTAAATGGACAGGTATAGAAATATCTGGTAGTAAGCACTATTCACAACTCAAAACAACAAAGGAATTCATACCATTTCATACCATGAAAAGAAAATTTCCTTTTTATTTTGGTAATTTCACATCCATAAGCTACATAATACATAACCATTGTGTATTTGTTTCTTTCTTTAACAAACCAATAACCAAAAAATGTAAACAAATTACTAGTGAAATTTGAGTTTTAAAAACACTATTATCAGTAGTAATATCCCTAGGACATTGATAACAGACGAGATAATTTCATGACAATCGAAAGCTCGTTCCTTATCCTTTAAGTTGCTTACCAAGCAACTTAAAAAGCAACGCTTGAGAAATTTGGCATGAAATTATGAGGCATTCATCAATGTCCGAGGGATATTCGGCGGATAATTTTTCGAAAAAAAAATATCATAACATTTATTTATTAAAAGTACAGTTAGTGAAAGTACAATTATTAAAATTTGAGTTAACATTAGATTCGTTGCTGTTCTCTACTATAGAAGATCTATTACCACGCATAATATTTATAATCTTGTTGTGGTGTTCTTGATCGAGATTCAAGTATGGTTTTATAGAAACGTGACATTTTGAAATTTATTTGGATGGAGTTGTCAAACTCGATCGTGTTGTCATATTGAAAAATGGATTGAAAATTGCACTGAATGCAATTATCAGTCTAATGTTGACATGATTGGGTGAAATTGTTCCACATGACACAAAATGACGAAATTTTAATGGTTGTTAGAGCAGTCGAAAATTATCATAAAAATAAAATTAAGCCGATACTATAGAAGATTAAAATAACATTTACTTTAATTAAAAAAGTGGTTTTCAAACCAAAAGTTAAAGTTAAAATGTAAAATAAACACAATTTACTTTTTAATGTGCATAATATCCCAATTTGCGCATTTAAGTTAAAAAGAGACAGGTTAAACATTAGGTTACCAGGGTAACCAGGGTTCAGAGCTCATGCCAGAGATCACACTAAGCGAAATCCAAGACACAATGAAAAAGATGAAGAACAACAAAGCAGCAGGAGAATATGGAGTCGTAATAGAAGCTATAAAGATAGGCGGACGTGCCCTTCTCAACCAAATAAAAATTTTGTTTGAAATTTGTCTGTCTTTGTGCAACAGATTGTTGCATACCGGAAACATGGAGCAATGCAGTAACAATGTTAGTACACAAGAAAGCAGACGGGAAAGTGCTCAATCATCTGCGTTTTGCTGATGATAGTACTTATTACCGAAGATCTGCGTGAAGCAACAATAAATGCTACAAGAATTAGAAAACGTATCTTCAACAATAGGTCTAACAATTAACATCAGTAAGACCAAACTTATGACAACTTTGGTTCTCAGCGAACACCTAACCATCCAAAATCAAGTGGTAGAATTGACATAAAAGAACATATATCTCGGTCATGAAATCAGAATAAGCAAGGATAATCACGACCTGTGAATTTTAAACGACGAATAACACTTGCTTGGACAGCGTATGGTTCACTAAGAGACATCTTTAAGAGCAACATCCCGATATCTATGAAACGGAAAGACATTTGACCAATGCGTTCTTTGTATTATGACATACGGAGCAAAAACTCTCACTCTCACACAAAAACAACAACACTAAAAATGCTTGGTTGGATATTAGCGTATTTAAAGAATAGAACTACGAAGGACCACCAGCCTGGGGCTGGAATGAAAACCAGATTTAAACACTAACTTATATTTAATACTAAGATTAAATAGCGATTTCTGAATCTGTCCGAAAACACTGCGATTATGGGGTATTTCTACAACTAGAATTACTTAGCGGAATGTCGGTTCTATGTTAACGCACTCCTGGCAACACTGGTGGTTTAAATATATGAACTGTTTTTATATAAAAACTATACTGCGGATTGAAGAAAGACACTGATTACTATAAATGATTGACTTATAATCTTAATGAATAATATTGCGATGCGAACTAATTTAGTTACAAATACATATAATATATTACTAAGCGAATTTGCGAGCTAGCGACTGTTAGCTTACGAGATATTGCGACCGACCGTGGTAATAACTTGTTTGGAACTGACTGATAATATCTAAATTATGTAGGTAGGTAGCGCAGGGGTCCTACCCCTAAAAGTACCGTTAGATAGCTTCCGTTATTTCTTCTAAGAAGGCTTAGCAATATCGGCTTGGAAAAAGTGGCACGAAGGCGCATGGAAAGATCGATTCTCGGGTGTAACAAAAAAAAAAAGACAAAATAAGGAACCAAGACCTAAGGAAAAGAACAGGTATCAGTGATGTAGTCTAACGTATAGGCAAGCTGAAATGGAATTGGGCAGGTTACATAACGAGACAAAAAGACTCAAGATGGACCAGAAAACTAATTGACTGTCGCCCAAGAGAAGACAAACGCAGCAGAGAACCACCAACATGCTGGATAGACGACAATTAATAAACGAATGTCCAAGAAATGACAATAAGATGCACAGAACCGCGAATAGTGGCGAAAAATGGGAGAGACCTATGTCCAGCAGTGGACAGAAGAGGTTGCATGATGATGACATCATGAGCAGCGTAAGAATATTCTACTTAATAAATAAATGAACGAAATTGTTCTTCATAAATTAATCACCACTGATTGAGTTAAAACTATTTGCGGCAACTTGTTGTCTGGCACCTGTTATCAATGTATGTAAAATCTCTTATTTATCAAATGTATGTAAAATTTTGCATTTGATTAACTACGTTATAAACGCAGTGATCTTGCAGTGGGATTTCGTACTATTAATGTTGGTACATTTAGTAAGTATATCAGTATTGAGTATAACAGTATTGGTAACCAGAGCGTGTAGCAAATGTATAACAAACACATCATTTCATTGATTGTCTGTGCTACATATTTTTCTTCGTTTAATAAGATGAGGAGGCAGTTTAAACCTTAGAACAGAACACTATAATATAAAATTTCTTGTTTCTTATTTTTTTCTTTCTTTATTTTTTTTTTTTTTTTTTCGGAAAAAACACTTCAGCTTTTAAACCATATAAGA